TGCTATATGGGCACCAGCTGCTCCACTTCCAACCCAGCTCCCTGCTAATGCACGTAGGAAAGCAGCAGAAGATGGCCCAAGTGCTTGTGTCCCTGCAACCCCCAAGGGGAACCCAGAAGAAACTCCTGGCTCCTGCCCTCAGATTGGCTCAGCTCTTGCCACTGCAGTCATTTGGGGAGTAAACCAGCAGGTGGAAGTTTCTCCCTCTCTCTCTCTCTCTCTCTGCCTTTCAAATAAAATAAATAAAACTTACATTAAAAAAAGAATAAACTCTATTAAAGAATAGAAATTAAAGTCAAAGACAAAATCTAAATTCTCTGTTCAGGAAAGATTTGTTTACATATAGGTTGTTTACATATAGGTTGGTAAAGGACGATAGTACACATCAAATCATTATGACGTTTAAGGTTTCACTGGATAAAATTAAAAGTATAATGAGCAGGTTCACTTTAAAATGTTGATACAATTGAATCTCATCAACTGATGTTGAGCAAGCGAAGCCAGCTTTATATGCTTCGTTTGCATGTTCAGGATGGTTCTCAGGTGGCCTGGGACTGATGCTGTCCCGCCCCTTCTCTTCACTGGTAGTCCTCAGGAGTAACTGAGGAATGTGCTAGAAAGACAACAAGCACCCTGAGGTGGGGGAGGGGCAGCGTGGAAGCTACTATCCCCAACAACAGAATGTCCTTCGACACTTAGCCCAGCAACTCACATTGCCCCAGTACCTTAAACAGGTGGGTATACAAGTGAATGTAAAAGGGCTGAGTGCAAAAGTGGGTATAGCACAGCCTATGAAACAGTTGGGCCTGCCTCTCCAGGGCCCCTCGGCTATGGAACAAGTCTCCATCAGCACTGGGAAGGCTTCCTGAGCTGTGAGTCCAGACCACAATGAATCCTGGTGTCTGGGGATCCCTTGCTGCCTAGACATCTGAGCCAAACAAAGGCATTTCATGTAATGTGTTGGGTGATGGGTGTTCCGTTGCATCAGACCCAGACAAGCTAGTAACCACCCAGTGCCCAGTGAGCCTATTTCACCAGGTAAGGTTCAAAAATCAGCACACTACCCAGTGATGGCATTAGGACAAGATGGCGGTAATCATTCAACGGAGCAGGAAGTGACAGGAAGGGGGTAGGACGTTCCCAGGAGCCTGAGAACACTCTGTCACTAGATCCGCATGCTGTCATATAAGCACATTCACCCTGCAGAAGTTCACTTACACTTTATTCACTTTCCTGTCTGTAAGTGCCCGGGTTCAAGGCCCAGCTCTACTCCTGATTCCATCTTCCTGCTAACGTGCACCCTGGGAGGCAAGTGATGGCTCAAGTAGTTAGGTCCCTGCTATCCGTGTGGGATACCCACACCGAGTTCGCAGCAGCCTGCCCTCTGCACGGCCCAGGCAATACTAAGTGAACAGCCGCCCAGGCCTGCCTGCTGCAAGCATTTGGGGAGTGAATCAGTGGATGGGTGATCTTTCTGTCTCTCTTCCTTTCAAACAAGTAAAATTAACTAATTAAAAAATAATAAACCTACTAAGTTTGGAACATAATTTAAAAAAAACTGTACAGTGAATACTTTTAAATGCCAACTTAAAAATGTACTATAGTTGGGGTGGTAAATTTTTGAAAATTATTTTAGAGCAAAAATCATTGATAATGGCCTTAATATGCTTGTTTTGAAATATATTCTTGGAGGGGCCAGAGCCAAATCCCTGGCCTGAAGTGCCAGCATCCCATATGGGCGCCGGTTCTAGTCCTGGCTGCTCCTCTTCCTATCCAGCTCTCTGCTATGGACTGGGAAAGCACTAGAAGATGGCCCAAGTCTTTGGGCCCCTGCACCCACATGGAAAATCCTGAAGAAGCTCCTGGTTCCTGGGTTCAGATCAGCGCAGCTCTGGCCATTGTGGCCATCTGGGGAGTGAACCAGTGGTTGAAAGATCTGTCTCTCCCTCTCTCTCTGTAACTCTTTCAAATAAGTAAAATAAATCTTTAAAAAAAAAAAAGAAATATATTCTTCTAGCAAACCAGTAATCACAATAAATAACCTAGTAAGAATTCACAGGGTTTTATTCATACCATTTGCAGGATTAAACAATCACAATTTTGTATGTGTCTCAGAGCATAAGATAAACATTCTCAGGGCCGGTGCTATAGTGTGCTAGCTTAGGACTCCCCTTGTGGTGCCAGTCTCCTCCTTCAGTGCTGGCATCCCGTATGGGCTCTAGTTCAAGTCCCAGCTGCCCCACTTCCGATCCAGCTCCCTGCTGATGGCCTGGGAAAGCAGTGGAGGATGGCCCAAGTGCTTGGGCCCCTGCACCCACGTGGAAGACCCAGAGGAAGCTCCTGGCTCTAGCTTTGGACTTGCCCAGCTCCAGCCATTGTGGCCATTTGGGGAGAGAGCCAGCAGATGGAAAACCTTTCTCTCTGTCTCTCCCTCTGTCTGTCTGTAACTCTACCTTTCAAATAAATATTTATAAAATTTATATATAATTTATAATAAATATTTATTTTTCTGAGAGGCAGAGTAACAGAGAGAAAGAGACAGAGAGACAGAGAAGTCTTCCATCCACTGGCTCACTACCCAAATGGCCACAATAGCCGGAGCTGAGGCAAACAGAAGCCAGGAACTTCCCCCAGGTCTCCCACATGGGTGCAGGGGCCCAAGGACTTGGGCCATCCTCCACTGCTTTCCCAGGCCATAGCAGGGAGCTCACTAAACTTTACCTATCTAGTTACACCATGTCACAGTCACTGGGACAGTGGAGATGGGCAGCATTAGGGGTCCTGTCCAGTGCAATAGAGGCTGGCACATCACACACACACACACCAGCCTCCTCGTGTGCTTCTGACTGTCCATCAAGGTGTCACTACAGACACACAGAGCCCTAGCATCATCAATCTGTCAAAGTGACATCACAAGAAACAATGGAAGATGGTTTTAAGTGTTATCTTTTATTTTTTTTTTCATTGCAAATTCTTTCAGATAAAAACAACACAAGTAGAAACCTTAATACTCTGTTCTTGGGAAAATTGATTTTTCTGATGGTTCCCAGCACAGTTTTCACATGAGACATAGAGGCATCCTCTCTTATTTTCTAAAATGCTGTATCAAGGAAAGTGGATGGTGGCAGGATGAATTCACCCCTTTTCCACCTGATGTTTGGTTTCACAAGCTGGTTTCCCAGAGAGGTATCGACTCACTGCTCTCCAAAGAGTTTGTGGGAAATAGAGTTAAAAGATGAGCTGGTTTTGGTGCAGAAATAGTTTTCAATCCATGCATAGATTTTTCACAGCTAGCATGCTCAGTGAACTTTTCCTAGATCCCCTTATACACACGGCACAATTAACTTGAGAATGAGGAGTGACCAAAAAGTACAACTGGCTGCTTATACACTGAGGACAAAGGCTATTCCCACGAGGCACTAACATTATGGTTCTGCCACCCACCAGGATCAAGGCAGCCAAACTGGGGCAAGTTCTGAGCTTGCAAAGAAGTCCACTGTGTTGAATTAGCGTCCTTTTCCTGAAGTCTCTGCATTCTAGCCCCAAATCCATTGATGTCCCTACCCGACAGATTCAGTCCCACATCCCAGAATCACCCACCCTCACCCCTACCATCAAACCAGACTTGGAATTCAATATCATCTCAAGCCCTGAGTTCATCACCCTATCACTCAAGTCCTCAATTCACCCATTTTAGCTGCTATGACAAATTAACTACAAACGTAGTAGGTTCAAATAATACCAGGTTATCAGCTCCCAGGTCTGTAGGGCAGACTTTTGGTAGACTCAGCTGTGTCTTTGCTCTGGGTCTCACAAGGCCAAAACCAAGTTGTTGCAGGGTAGGAGTTGGGCACAGCGGCATAAGTCACCATTTGGGGTGCCCACATCCCATTTCTGGGTGCCTACTTTATATCCTGACTGCTCTGCCTGCCATCCAGTTTCCTGCTCATGTGTATTCGGGAGGCAGTGGTCGATGGTTCAAATACTTGAGTCTCTGCCACCCACATGAGAGACTCAGATGGAATTTGGGCCTAGATTTGTATGACCCATCCCTGGCTGTTGCAGGCATTTAGGGAATGAAATAGCAGATGGAAGAACTCTCTGGATAAGTCTCTCTGTCTTTCAGATAAAATTTGAATAAATAAATAAGACTTTAAACAGTAATCAGTTTTGTTTTTTTTTTTAATGTTGGTCTCCCTAGGCTGTCATCTGGGAGTGAATCTGAAGCCCAGCTCATGGAAGCTGCTGGTAGAACTCAAATCCTCCCGGCTGTAGGACTGAGGGACGTGTTTCCGACATAATCTCTCTCGGCTACCTGAGGCCACCTGCAGTCCTCGTCACCTTGCCCCCTCCAGCGTGACGCGAGCAGTGGCACCAAGGGTCCCCTCTCACACGTGTCTCTGACTTGTCCACCTGCCTTACCCCTGGCTTCCAGAGAACTCTCTCTGCTCTGAGGACCCATGGGACCACACTGACCCACCACAACCTCAACTCGTTATTGATGACTCCTCGTAATCACATCCACAAAATGTTTTTGCCTGGTAAGGAAACATCCACAGGCCCCAGGATTTCGTGTGTGAGGGCTTATTCTCCCAGCTCAAGCCTGTAGTCTGTAGTGCCCAGGTTGGGGAAAGCCCTGTACATCCAACTATGCCATCTGGGGTTGGGCCACGGCACAGAAGTAGCCTCCACCAGAATTCCTTCCTCTGACCCTTGTCCTCCAGGGGCTCAGCGCTCCTGACCACCTGAGCACCCATCCAAGAAGCTGATTTTCCATCTGTCAGCTCCCTCTCCAGGCTGGGGTTGAGTGCAATTGTACAGACCCCAGGCAGACAGACCTCCGCCTGGCCTTGGCCCTGGCTCAGGATGCAGCTTATCAAAACCATCCCCCGCCTCCCCTCTGCCCCCTTTTGTCTTTGTTAGAGCTGCTGGCAGAAGAGCTGACAAAGGGCTGTGAAGTTGCAGGTTGCCTGCTGAAGCCAGAAATCAGAACCACTTACCTTTTCTGTTGAAACTCCAGTAACGATTTCTCATCAAATCACATTTTGTGCTGTGTAGGCTTCGGGAAAAATATTCCCCCAAATCTTGCTTGTTTTGAAATATTTCTCCTTGAAAAGAAATATATACTGGCTCTCTTTAAGGCCAGAAACAGACACAAGCACCAAGAATTTATATAGTAAAGATCTGATATTTCCCAACATCCTCATTAATTCCACTCCAATTCACCGCATTTCCCGGAGGGAGTCTTAACTTCTTAATTCACAAACATAGAATCTCGACACAAAGAACAGCCACAAAGTCTGCAGCAAGGAAAGGGGACAGGAAGGGCAAAGAAATTTGACCACAAATATAAAATAACGCTCTCCTTGACACCAACTAGTGGGTGATGAAGTCACTAATCGATCTCCTCTACTGGGTCTTCCATCTCCCCCGAGTCACAAGTGTTTCAATATCGCCTGACACTGTGCACACACACACACACACACACACACATAATGTCACATAATTTACACAAACAGATTCTAAGGACATTTCTACTTTTGTGCATTGTACATTTCTACTTCATGTACATGACTCACGGTCCACAAACTCCAGGACTAGAAACCACATCTCCTTATTTGTATAAATCCACTTGATGTCTCATCCCAGGGCAGATGAGGCCAGGCTGGGAGAAAAGCTAACCTCAATCACCGTCAGAGTTTCCAGACAGCTCCCTGAAGCTGTGGAAAGGCCACGGGGGTCACTACACTGCCCAGGGTCCTGGACCGACCCTTGGGTCAAGCATCAGTTTGCTGTCGCAAGGACAACCTCTCCTCCCCAACATGGCCCTGCAGCCCCCTGCTGCTGCACCCACGCACACTTGGGGAACACTCATTCATTCCACCTTGGAGATAGAAGATGATACGACCCTAACAGCCTTGAAAATGGACGCTGGGAAAGTGGACAGAGGTGGTACCAGGAAGCGCGTCCACTGTGAAGCCCTTAGGTACCCCGCAATGCCCCCATCTGCCCAGTGCGCTGGGCAGCCCCTCTAATGCTTCCCTCTGGTTCTTCAACATCTGCAGGTGCTTCTGGGAAGCCATAACCAAGACTCCCAGCTGTTCTCACTCCTGGTTTATTCTCTTTAGGGGTTGACAGGCAGAGTTAGTGAGAGAGGAGCAGCCAGGAGCCAGGCGCTTCCTCCTAGTCTCCAATGCGGGTGCAGGGCCCAAGCACTTGGGCCATCCTCCACTGCCCTCCCGGACCACAGGAGAGAGCTGGACTGGAAGAAGAGCCACCAGGACAGAATCTGGTGCGCCAACCAGGACTAGAACCCAGGGTGCCAGCGCCGCAGGCAGAGGATTAGCCTAGTGAGCCAGGGTGCCAGCACTCACTCTGTCTAATCCATGATGTGGGTGGGGGTGGGGCGGGGGTGGAGGCTGCCTACCTGGGCTAGTCTCTCTCCACTGCAGCAGATCCAAGCAGACCCTTATCTCAAAGTTACCCTCGGGAACCTCGTGGCTGATTTCCTCATTGGCTTCAGGTTTTAGAAGCAAGCCGGGCAGCCCCAAGCCTTTCCTGGGGCTATTGAATCTTAGAACCTCTCTGCTTAAATAAAGTGGGAAAAAGGGGGAAACTGGATGGAAAAATGTTAACTATCTCAAAATGCTATTAAACCCAGAGCAGTGAAAAAACATAGCCCTTCTCACTCACAACAGTGTCAGCTCGAATCCAACCCAACCAGGGATTCCTTAAGTCTAGCTGAGCCCCTGCTGGTTTCCACCAGGCAAGTCTGTCTCATTGTCCTGAGCTAGAAGCAAGGCCAACCTTAGCCGCCTGCCTGCAGCCTTGACTTTGGCTAGCTCCGGGGACCAAGTCCCTTGTGCAGGTGGGGCTTGGTTCTCTCCCTTTAGGAGAACAGTCTGCAAGTTACTTTTGCATACAATTTTGAAAGGGAAATTATTATAGAACATACTGTGCAAGGCGGCTTCACAAGCTTCGAGATAAAATGGATTACCCTTTCCTTAGTTCCCACATAATGTAAAATCTGTGGGTATTTTCCATACATCCTTAATTACGCCTTCTCTATGTAGACCTAAACGAAGACCATCCAAACGAGGGCAAGCAAAGACTTTATTCAGAGCCTGCTATGGGAAGCGAATTAGCCCCTGTCACTTGGGTTTGGCGACTCAAAGGCAAGAAGAGCAGTGGGAGAGCTTTAGGGCCAGAGAAGAGGAAGGCTGCAGGTGTGCCCCATTGGAGGCTGCAGGCCTGGGGAAGCTGGGAGTGGTTAACTATGAGAGGGGCAGCCTGTGTGGTTGGCTGCGGGAAGGTTTCACTTTCTCTGTTGCTCCTAAGGTGCAAATGGGAAACAGACAATAGGGAAACTGTCAGGTACTCGTCTATTCCTGCTTCCTTGGGGCTGATGGCTCAAGGGGTTATTTTTTGGCTTCCTAGCTCGGCTGTTAGATCACTTCCTACAAGTCTGACTTAGAGATAGGAGGTGATTTCCTGGACTGGTGACTCTGGATACCAGGTTGGTTCCCTGGGCTGGAGGCTGCAGATTTGGGTCAGAGTTCTACTGACTATGATCTGGCCATAGACTCAGTCTCTCCTCTTATTATATGCATGCCTGTAAGATCCTTGAGGACAGGAACTACATCTTTGTGTGGATATTTCCAATGCACAGCGTCTATCCAAAGGATCCCCATCTCTCCAAAAGAGAACTCCATGCCTCCTGGGCAGTCATTTCCATTCCACCCTCCCCCAGCCCCTGGCAATCTCTAATCTACTTTCTACCTCTCTGCCTACTCTTGATAGTTCATATAAATGGAGCCAAACGACAGGTGGCTGTTGGTGACTGGCTGCTTCTACTTTGCAGAATGTGCTGGTTCAAGGCTGAGTAGCATTCCATCATCTGTATAAACTGATATGGGCGAAGAGAGTATTAAATTCACTCCAGGCTCTTGTCATGCACAAACACAAGCACTCTTTTTGCTGACACACAGAAGCTGTACAGAGTGATGAAATTTATTCAAAAGGTGAGAAAGCAAACACATGCGCACGCACACACACACACACACACACACACATGAGCACGGGTTGCCCCACACAAATACCCATCATGAGGGGCAGTGGGCCAGCGGATTACCTGAAAGCAGAAGGGATGGCAGAGTGGGAGGAGAGAGACAGAGCACCTGGCAGCCCCACCAGCTGTCTATGGAGCAGAGAGGGCCCCTCCCCTCCCAGTTGTTAATCCCTTTTATGAGGTTGGGCGTGGTGGCTCTCCAGGCATGAAGACACTTAGGAATTACCTAGCATCTCCATAAGTTTCACATGGAGCTCAGTATCCGTATTTTCCTGGTGCCCCGCCTTAGCTCATGGGATAAATTAGATGCCGAAAGGGAGCGTCTTGATTGACAAGTAGGAGAGAATCACATGGGGCCTCGGGTCCTCCAGCTCAGCAGACCTAGCTGGCTGCCTGCCCTCCCATATCAACAGCACATTGATCCCTCCCTTCATCGGCTGTTGGGCATTTGGGTTGTTTCCATTTCCTGGCAAGTTTTTGAGTGAATATACATTTTTCAGTTCTCTTGGAAACACACTGAGGCGTGAACGTGCAGGGTGCTGTGGTCACTCTTTGTTCAGCTGTGTGAAAAATCCTCGCAAGTGCCAGATGTGAGGCATGCTCAATGCAGGCAGCCAAGGGCCACCGGAATGGACTTCCCCTACCTCTGAGGTGTCCCTGCATCACTGAGATCTCCGTGTCACACCTCGCTGTGCAGAAATGACCTGTCTTGGGGCCGGCGCCGCGGCTCACTAGGCTAATCCTCCGCCTAGCGGCGCCGGCACACCGGGTTCTAGTCCCGGTCAGGGTGCCGGATTCTGTCCCGGTTGCCCCTCTTCCAGGCCAGCTCTCTGCTGTGGCCAGGGAGTGCAGTGGAGGATGGCCCAGGTGCTTGGGCCCTGCACCCCATGGGAGACCAGGAAAAGCACCTGGCTCCTGGCTCCTGCCATCGGATCAGCGTGGTGCGCGGGCCGCAGCGCGCCGGCTGCGGCGGCCATTGGAGGGTGAACCAACGGCAAAAGGAAGACCTTTCTCTCTGTCTCTCTCTCACTGTCCACTCTGCCTGTCAAAAAAAAAAAAAAAAGAAATGACCTGTCTTGGACACCTGTAACCCTGATGAGCCTGCAAGTCTCTTTGCAATGGGGGTCACTCTCTATGGACTCATCTGCACATCCCGATGCCAAGCGATCAGCACTATGGCTGGTCCATGGGTGGTGCTCAATTCATGAATGACTAAATTAATGAAAGTAATTGGGTCATTGTTTAATATGTGTGAGATTTTTTTTCTTTCCCCTCAGGACACTCACAGGGAGCTGACAGCATCATCGAGGAACGTGTATATGTGGAAAGCAATAGCCCTCAGATGCGCTAACAATGGCAATCTCCACTCTGCAATGGTACATTTCACTCGTGTTTAAATTAAAACTGAGTGGCTTAGAGTATCTCTCTGTTCTTAGCACAAAGACTCATTATCTTAAGCAAAATACAATCCCAGAGAATACTGACAAATAAAGCTGAGTGTTGTGCCCGAAGAAAAAGAAATGACCTGAGTGATACATGGGTGTCACTGAGTCCTTATTATTCAGAATTTCTGGGCCTGGAGGCACCCCCATCATGCTCTACAGAATGGTTCATAGATCTTGGAATCACGACAAAGGAGGGAGTTAATTTTTGAAATGTCCGGTAAATTCAGCCCTACTGTTAAATGCTCTTGTTTAACACCAAGTCCTCACAGCTGGTGACTGTGGGCATTAGGTGTTATCCAAGTGCAATGCCATCATTAAAGAACCTGTAAAGGAAGATTTGACACACCGCTCTGGGAAGCATGTCACTGCAAGGGGGAGATTTTTTTCCCCATAAATTCTCCCTTGATGTTGAAGCGCTGAGCCTAAAAATGATCAAATACCAATTAAGCCAGAATGATCTAAGAATTAAGCAAGATGACGACTTGGAAAGAGCAGTCTGCCCCTGGAAGATAAATCAAGCTGGATGTGAGGGGAGGAAGTATCAAATCCGAGCACAAATATTGCTTTCAGTGTGGCCAAATCCATTCTCTTCCTTCTAAACCAGTCCTTCCTCCTCGG